GTCCAGACGGTTTTTACCCTAAACAAAAATACAACAAAATATTACCCCTGGTGCCGACCACAGACCATAAAACTTTGGATCATTAGAAACATCTAACTCATCGTTGACGTCATTGACTACAAGCAAAATGCCGCCAACCAACAGACCAATCCCAAGTAAGAATTCTAACAGACCAATAATAGCCGCTCCTCTTGCAATAGGTTTTGATACTTTCACCTTCCCGAGTGGACCTAAACCTAGAAACAGAATGGGGGTCAGTTTTCACAAATAAAATACTATTAGTGCAAATATGACGGTCCAGTGTACATAGTATTTTACAATAAGCTGCCGTAGAAAACATTCTCTGATGTGGTGGTTCAGTGTAGGTAGTATTCTCCAATAAGCTGCCATATTTTGTTTGTGTCTGAACTTCTTGAAAAGTATATGTCAAATATGGTGGTTCAGTGTAGGTAGTATAAAAAAGATGCTGCCTTTGCTTGTATCTGAACTACCTCAAAAAGATATCTCAAACACGGTGGTCTAGTGTGGATAGTATTCTACACTAAGTTGCCGTGGTTGTATTCTATAAAAAAAATATATTAAGGCTTATAATAAGCTGCCGGTGTTTGTGTCTGAACTTCCTGAAAAAATATTCTCAAATATGGTTCGGTTTAGGTAATATTCTACAAAAAAGCTGCCATTATTTGTGTCTTCACGTCCTGGAAAATATTCTCAAATGTGGGGGTATTATAATGTATGTAATATTCTACAATAAGCTTCAACATACGGTAGATTGAAAATTTAAATTCAAAACAAAAAAGCGACCTTCAACCGTCACAATATACATATGTCATCATGTCAACAAAACATTAAAAATCCAGCGTAATATTTCAATAAAATGACATAATTAAATGCTTTATTTACTTACTTCTGTTACTAGTGTAAGTCCCTAGTGTTGATTGCATTCTATACACGGAAAATTTTCTTTTCTCATTAATAAAATCCTATTATTCATGCACTTCAACCGTGAGAATTTTCGAACAATTTCATCACAGTAATTTGATACATCTTCGGAATGTTTTTAACGTACTCTAATCGCCATTTCGACGTTTAATTTGACGAAGGCGACAAAAAAATCGATTATGGGTGATCGTAATTAATACCGAGAGCCTGATACTCAGGTTAGATCGTAATGGACCTATTACTTAATGAACAAAATCTTGATCTCAAGAAGTCTGGACAAAAATTTCATCACAGCTTGAAAGAGCATCACAAAATTAGTAATATTCGAAATGTTGTAAAATGCGGATACTGGTAATATAGGCCTGCGTCGCTAGGGCCGCAGAGAGAGGGGGGCAAATGGCCCCGGGCCCCGAAGTGCTGGGGGCCCCTGAAAATTTTTTGTTGGGCCTCCAGTCTTTTTTGTGTGTTAAATATTTCCACACAAAGGACAAGATATCTGGTTTTTTGGGCTAAAAAAATAATTCCGGAAACATTTTTTAGATAGGGCCCCCCCCCAAAAAAATTTGCCCCGGGCCCCCGCCAACCTCTCGGCGGCACTTAGCCTGCTTGCAGCCTGACTTCTAGGCGGCACTGTGCGCCGCTGCGAAGTTCCCCCGTTTTTCAGTCATTTCGTATTAAGGTTCGGACACACGTCACACACCGAACCGCTTTCTGAAAAAAGGTATCAATTTCCTGTGCGTAATACAAATTTAGTGCGAAATTTTTGTCTAGACTTGTCTAGATGAAAATTTTGTTCATTAGGTAGTAGGTCTATTAAATAAATTTATAAATGACAACATATTTTATGATATTCCTATGTGAAAATCACATGATTCTCTGTGAAAATAATTCGAAAACTCCCTTTAATTAATATGAATAAAATTATTTCACTCTTAACCCCGGGGATTTCATGTAGAGAATGTCATGGTTTTTAACTGTATGTACATACATAGCTAGACCACTTTCACAATAGAGATGCATTTAAATATTCTTTTATTATGTGAATATTTTAAGCCGGTTTTCCACTAGGCGGAATTTTGAGCGCTGAGCGGACTAGACAAAGAAAAATTCCGCTCAGCGCTCAAAATTCCGCCTAAAGGAAAATCAGCTGAAAGGCTTCTTGTCTCGTTAGAGTTCTGAAATGGAGAACAGTAAGATTTTCAAAACAGTGAAAAGACAATAGAACCTTTCGATCACTGGATCTGTTATGCCAAGTATACAAAAACTTGCAAAGCAAGCAAAAACCAAGCAAAAAACTTGCCCAACACCGAGAAAATGGGTGATCAGTGATTATCCTCTATTAAATTGTATTACAGCAGGAAAATGTGAAATTTTGTATTTAATTACAACAAAAATGACTTACATTATCAGAAAGCTTACAAAAATCTACATATAAGACATTTAAACAGGTTTTTTTTATATCTAAAATTGTTTTCGAGTTATACGCTGTCAAGAACGCGTTTTTTACCTAGTACCCAGTCCTTATTGCGACACTTTGGTCCAATTTTCACATTTAAAACAACAATAATTCAAAGACTATTTGAAAAATCAAAAAACTGTTTAAAAGTCTTATATGCGGTTTTTTGTACGTTTTCCGATGATGCAAGTCAGTTTTATTGTAATTATGTACAGAATTTCCCATTTTTTTTTGCAGTAATACAATTTAATAGAGGATGATCATTGATCACCCATTTTCTCGGAATTGGGAAACTTTTTTGCTTGGGAACTTTTTTTAGTAGTGATGTACCTATATGCCTTTCATATAAACCCCAAACCAAGTATTTCCCACATGGGTGCCACGAAGCGAAATAATTTTGGCCAACAGCCCACGGCCTAATAGACAATTCCCATTATAGACTAATTTTAAAACTAGGAAAGGAGGTGCAAATAAATCACCACAGCTAGAAAGAGCATACTAAAATTAGTAAAATTACAAAATTTGGTTGCGAAATGTTGTAAAATATGGAAAATATAGCCTTGCAAAGTTTGCAAATTTTGTATACTTTTGTATTGCGTGCGACATTTTCGGCCTAAATGTGGTAGGAATGTGGTAGGAATTTCCGCAAGCAATACAAAAGTATACAAAATTTGCAACCTTTGCAAGGCTATAATCTTCCACATTTTACAGCATTTCGCAACCAAACTTTGTAATTTTACTAATTTTAGTATGCTCTTTCGAGCTGTGGTGATTTATTTAAGTTTCCTTACCTAATTTTAAAATTAGTCTATAATGGGAATTGTCTATTGTAGTTCCAAGAGCGAGGCAAGAATAGCTGATTAGGTCATTAGGATGCCTGTAAAACTGATAACATTCAAACTTTAGACGATTATGAAAGTGGTATTTACACAGTTTACACTGTCAGTTCAATGTATTTTATTGTTTGCAGTTCAAAATGCTACTTTCGGAATCCGCTATCTGTATGATATACGGTGTTGTTGAAGCTCATCGGTTGAAAATCAGCTGGCGTTGAAAAAGGGGCCAACTGGATGTCGCCTTGCTCTGGATTCTACATATTGTGAAAATAAGGTAGAAAATGTTCAGTATTCTTTGTAGATCCAATTTACTACGAGACAGGTCATTGTTTGTGGGGGAGGGGTAGCACCGAAGACAAATGTTTCTCTTGGTAAAAATTTTGCTCATCCAACCATTAAAAAAGTCAAAATTTTACCCAACCTCAAATATCGATTGAAAAATAAATACCCACCCCTGGCAAAAATCTTTACGGACAAGAATACCATTCAGTTGTCACATATGTCCTTTACCACTTCTGTGACATGAGTTTGATAACTGCTTGTGCAATTTTCTGCAGTCTAAAGTTTCATATTGTCTGCACATGTACTTTCTTTGGAGACACTATTTACCTCCTGACAAATCGGGAAATGATCAAGATAGCGACCCTGATTGATTTATATTTTTATTACCCAACCCTTTAGTTGTTTTGTTTTTCATTTACCCAACCTTTTGTTTACCCAACCCTTTTCTCTTCGGTGCCCCCCCCCCCCTCCCCGCGATAAATATTAACCATGAGTCCCTAACTGATTTCAATGCAGGCTATACTAACTGATAAGTTGTGGTGGTTTGTGTCTGAACAGTCATCCTGCCCTATATTTTTCTCAAACTCATTAAGAATTGATGATAAAACGAAAATGAAAACATCACAGTATCTCGATACCACGGTAATAAACGCCCATAAATCAACTCAACATCGCGTTGAATTTCTCTTTAAATACAAGTCCGTTTGACAAAATAAATAATAATTTTCATCGCATGCCTTTTCGGTGTTTGTTTAGCCTGTAGTAAACGCTGTCTCGTTCACAAGAGGCTGTGGATTGAATCCAAAACATTTTACGGCAAGATATTTCACTTACTTCGATACTTCTCGCTCTATACAGAGCCACACTTGTCACAAATGTCGTCACACATGAAAACAAAAGTGACGTCAGTATTGTCGCGGTGATGACGATTAACAGAATAGCGATAGTTTTGATGTCCTTACAGTAATCTGGGAAAAGAAGAAGAAAAACTCCTGTTAAGCGACTACCCAGAACTGTCACCACGCTTACTGTACCTTTCAAGCAGGGAGACCCACTGTGCAATCCTTGATGGCATCAACTATTTCGCTGACCTCAGAATGACATTTCGTCAAAACTTTTTTCTTCAAGATTGGTTTAGAAACAAATTTGGAGTAGGGTTAGGTTAGGGTTAGAGTTGGTGTTTGGAGTAGGGTTAGGTTAGGGTTAGGGTTAGAGTTGGTGTTTGGAGTAGGGTTAGTGTTAGTAAAACCGTTGCTTTGTCACGTTTTGTCACTTTGAGGCCAGCGAAATAATCTCTTCCATCCTTGATCCAGGGTTTAATCCAGGGCTCAATCGAACCTCTACTCAAGGTCTTAAAATAACTGGGGAGAAAGTGCTACCTTTACATTGACATCAGTAATCTGTAAATGGTTACACTTTCGCGTCTTCTCTGATAAGGACGTTAAATCGTAGGTACCTCGAATCCCCTACAGCGGCGGCGGAACAGATTTCATTCTGGGGGGCTAAATTTTTTTCGGTCAGTAGTGTACCATTTTAGGTGGTACAAAAATTTTTTCCGGACATATACAGGAAAAGAGATGAAAAAAATTTTTCCGGACATATAACAAAAATTTTTTCCGGAAATACACAATTTTTAAACAAAATATTGCAAATTTTTCCCCTTATACCTAAATTTTCAAAAAATTACCGAAATTTTTCCTTAATTATCAAAATTTTTCCAGAAAAAACTAAATTTTCTGGGGGGCTAAGCCCCCCCCCCCCACTTTTACTTCTGGGGGGGGGGGCTTTAGCCTCCCTAGCCCCCCCCCCCGGTTCCGCCGCCCCTGATCCCCTATCAATTCGGCAATAACTTGCTGGGAAGTCTGCTCAGCAATGAATGAAAAATTCAGTACATTTTGCAGGGATGACGTTTATTTTGGTAACGGGATGAAATAGATTGAGTATTTAATAATACCGCGTTTCGCAAACCTATTACAGTGCAAAATTTGCGGGGGCGGTGCCTCGGAACAATTGGAACCCCCGCTCCATACACACTCGTTTGGGGCTGGCTGCGCCCCTGTTTCAAACCAAAAATGCAAAACTGTTGTAATTTACCGAGATTATTTGTACTTAAATAAGTATGAGACCGTGATATGTTTCCTTCTGGGTTTACGAGAGGTTGAGTGCAGTTCTGAGTTTGTTCCTCCCAAGCAAACTTTCCATTATCTCTCGTATAGGGCATAACCATCATAGTATCGAGAATACACAACGTGTCACATGACAGCGAACATAACCAATAGACGAACACCTATCGGAGAATGGAAGGTATTTGAAATTTAAATTTTATCACGAATGCAGTAACGGTTAAAATTTCATCCCGGGACATTCTTACTGACAAGTAAAATGTTTTGACATTATCTCAAATTAGCCTTTCTCCAAATTAGCCAAAATCCGCCATTTTTTGGGGTACTGTCTGCCCTCGTGAAAGTTCTAGACAATTCAAACAACGTGAAAAGCAACTTTGAAAAGTTGTATCTGTAAATTTACCATTATACAAACAACTACAATACTAAGAAGTTGTATTTCGTCGTGCGGAGACTTTCAGACCTGGGAGGGGCAGTACCCCAAAAATGGCGGGAAAGGCTATAATTAAACCAAATGTATTTACCAAACAGGACAGTCTTGAGTAGACAAGACCATAGCCCAAAGATCCAAGTAGCAGTAACTATAAAGCAGGGGGAAACAAGATAAAAATAAGGAATTTAACTCAGATATTGATTGCATGGTTAACGCTGTGAAAATTTCTGTATCCGACTGTAATCACAAAAGGAATTTCTAAGTTCTGAAGGATTTGTTAGAAATGTGTCAGGGAACTTAATGTTAAACACTTAAGTCAGTTTCCTCAAACTATTCTTGGCAATCCTTTAAAACTTGGAATTTACCTAGAATTTTTTAAATAGTACATAACTACTGGGGCATTTACTCCAGTAGGCCCTCTGCTTGCCCCAGTAGTGAAGCGATATTTTCAGATGAACTGGGCCCTTTTAATCATTAGTAAAGAGTCATCCTTGTTGAAAAAGCTGCATCTACCTGCTTTCTCATATCCTCTCAAATTCTCGACATTCCATTTTATAAAAGTCAGCACAGCATGGTCTTTATATGTACGCGTAAATATGTGAGGAAAAGGCCCTCATTGAGACTTAGCCCCCGAGTAGTTGTAATTTCTTAAAAAATGCCCTGACCTAGATGCAAAATTCCTATTGTGGTCACAGAAACTTTGATAGTGTAATCCTGGCTTAAGAGAGGTTAACATCGTCTGAACGATAATTTTGTGTCCGATGTTAAACTACCTATATAATGGTTTTGGAGTTTGCATATCTCGAAAGTTTAGGGTTTTTGAAGACACTTTGCAATATATTTTGTTATTGAAAAATTTCATCTTGATGGATTTATTAGCTCTTAAAGTTACCGGACATGACGTCAAAAGGAGAATTTTGTTGCAATGATACAAAGGAAAACTGATTTGCAATTCTCCTTTTGACGTCATGTCCGGTAACTTTAAGAGCTAATAAATCCATCAAGATGAAATTTTTCAATAACAAAATATATTGCAAAGTGTCTTAAAATACCCTAAACTTTTGAGATATGCAAACTCCAAAACCATGATATAGGCACTTTAATATCGTCTGGTGTAAAACAGGACGACAAACCAGTCAAGTGAACTGTGAACTGAATAAAATCTGATTTCACTCAGTTGAGTCAGCTCTTCGTTGTTCAACGCCGTCTGTTACGCCGGCTTGTCTTTATACTATAGACTTTAACGTGTGGGCGATATTGTCTGTAAGCGTGTCTTCGGACGCTCTTAACTGAGAACGATAACATTCAAGCAGCATCCAGCAGGCTCTCTCCTCCGCAGAGGCTTTAAGCCCTCGGCAAATTAGGAAACGTTGTGGAAACATTTGTGATTCTCGATGTTTCCTCAAATGTTTCCCTGTTTGTTTGGAAACATTGTTTTACTTGTTGGGCTGTACATTTCATATAGCAATTGGAGAGCCACTATCTTCAGTAATTTGTTTTTGTTTTTTATGATTTGATAATAAGTTGATGAACTTACTAGAAATCCCGACATAACTCCAAAATATCCGTCAGTGAATCCAGATATTATATCAACATCCCAATCTTGATCATACGTCAAGTATTGCCCTCGTAAGAGGAGACCGCAGGCTCCAGCACCCGCTCCAAACACGGCTGTAATACTTCCCAAAACCATGATGGTGTTTTTTTGTTTCTTCGTGATGACTGCACTCATTCTAGAGAGAAAAATTTTAAAATGCTACTAACCCCAAATATAATATTTGTTAAGAGTAATATTTGGGTCATTCTAAGAAGAAATGTAATATATCTTTATGGTAAAAAAACCTCGTCTTGATCAACTTTTTCACTGTCAAAGTTTCCGGATATGATGTCATTATGTGAATTTTTGGTATAAAAAACAAAGGAAAAGTAATTTGCAATTCACCTAATGACATCATATCCGGAAACTTTGACAGTAAAAAAGTTGATCAAGATGGGATTTTTTACTATAAAGATACATTACATTTCTTCTCAGAATGACCCAAATATTACAAATAATAAAAAACCCTATTTTTTGGTTAGTCGCGCTTTAAAGGGTTTTTGTTGATGGAAATTTCAACTGTTAGTTTTATCAAGCGAGACGCCAACAAAATATCGATATTTACCTATAATAGACTTTAGTACTGCTGCACCACCCACTATATATACATACATGAACTTGTGGTTAGAGCTCGACAACTGGCCTCCGTAGCTCAGTTGGTTAGAGCGCTGCACCGGAATCGCAGGGCCGTGGGTTCAATTCCTGCCAGAGGACCTAGAGTTGCATTTTTCGCAACTGTTTCTGGTTAGATCTAATAAATGTATAAAATCCACACTGGGAATTTCCATCTCCAAAACCCATCTGCATTTAGTTATATCGAACATAAGTCAACAATACAGGTAGCTGTCAAAGTCCAGGCATTTGTTCAGTATCAGCTGCTGGTGGCTAGATCTTTACGTACCAGAAATCGACAGTTACATTTTTTGGGTTTAAAATTGTATATAATCTTCCGCTACAAATAACTGTCAGTTCCATCGAACGAGATGCCCAAATATATCAACCATTTGAAAACCAACTGTAGTAAATGACTATAGTGACTGACGTCACCGACCAGATGGCTGACTGGCTTTAGCCTGGTTCCATATGGTCGTAACGGTCGTAAAGATTGAGTCACGATCTTTCTCATCAGTCGAAATACAATAGTTTAGGACTGGAAATACGCGGAGTGATTATAACTAGAGAATACTTATGATTTATATGTGGTTTACAGGTCTAAACTATTATAAACTGGCCGTTGAGAAAGATCGTGACTCTATTTTTACGACCATTACGACCATATAGAAACCAAGCTTAACTGCAACCTCGCAAGCAAGGGTGTGGAGGCCCGCCGCGGGTGTGGAGGCCCTTGCTTGCGAGGTTGGCTTAACTGACTGAGCCATTCATCGACTGACTGGTTGAGTCAGGTTGACAAATTGTGGACAAACCCAGAGGTGTAGATCCCGTAACCTTTACCGCCCCGTTACTCTACGTAATATCCCTTTGAGTGCGTTTCAATTTGGTCCTAATTATGACAAGACAGTCACATGATTTTAGTGTTTTCCAGAAACAGTTATGTAGGATTAAGAAATTCAAGGAATTCATAGTTTTCATTCTTATAATCTTATCAGAATAACACCGCCATTAACTTCTTCCTGTAATACGATATCAAGTACTCGACGAGCGACTTAATTACAGACCGTAGCAACACAAAACTGTTTGGTAAATTGTGTACTGAGTAACCCTGAATGTGGACAAGAAGTGGTTTTGCTTGACACATTTTATTTTTTCCTATGTAGGTCACTCAAATGCCTAGTCAATAGTCAAAACAAGCCTTGACAGGCATTCAATAAACATTTGAACACCATATTTTTAACGAACAAACAACGAACAAACTTGAAAACCATACTTTTAGTTTCCAGCGAATACCTACTTGTAACTTGTCTATATACATTTTTATACATAGGAAATGTATAAAAATACATCACTTAGTTCCAGAGGTTCTTGTGCCGCCGTATTATAAATTACATAATTTGCGAGAATAGGGCGAAAGATACGAGAACCTCTGGCAACCAGGGTAGTGTCGATGCCCCAAATCCTGAACTTATAAAAATATACATAGAAATATTAATAATGTCTTATTTGGCTGCATACCTGGAGAAAATGACAGCTTTAGCTATATTCTAAATTCCTGAAAATGAGAGCCAAGCTTTGTTGATCTCAATAACCTTTGATAAAGTGTTCCAGTTTGACTCAACCTTCGCTTACAGTTTGCTAAAAGCTCAGGCACACTGCTCTATGAACTGCAAATACTTACATTCAACTCGTCATATAAATGCAATAATAATATACAGTTGTCTCAAGAGGATGCGTTTTAGCGTGTTTGCGATAAGATCATATAACATATGTCTGAAACGAAATATGATACTCCATGTCTTGAAACAGTTTTCTGTTGAGATTGTTAGTTGCGCTTTCATGAAAGCAGTTTCCACCAAGATTCTGTCGATTTCTCGTACGTAAAGATCTAGCCACAAGCAGCTAATATTGAACTAATGCCTAGACTTTGACAGCTACCTGTATTCTTGACTTATGTTCGATATAACTAAATGCAGATGGGTTTTTGGAGATGGAAATTCCCAGCGTGTGAATTTTTATACATTTATTAACCAGGAACAGTTGGGAAAAATACGACTATAATCCCTCTGGTAGGAGTCCAAACCCTAGGTCCTGCGATTCCGGTTCTACCCAACTGAGCTACAGAGGCCAGTACTAGTTGTCGAGCTCTAACCGCGCGTTCATGTATGTATATGCTAAGCCTAAAGATGATCTACGCCTGTATTCCAAAAGCTCACTCACACTGAAAGAGTGGAGTTCAATCCGAGCTTCCCTTGAGTGTCAATGCTGTTTTTGAATAGCTGGAGGGTCAGTGTCATACCTTAACCATGCGACTACTCACTCTCTAGCTATTCAAAAACAGCATTGACAAACAAGGAATGCTCAAGTAACAAGTTGAATCTCCACTCTTCGAGTGTGAGTGAGCTTTTAGAATACAGGCCGTAATGTTGATGGAATTAATCGTTGATAAAGTACGAATCTAAGCATGGCACGCATGTTGTAGCCTATCAGTTTAAAACAAACACATTTATTTAAGACATCAAGATTCGTATGTAATTATTTACAGATTTATACAGACTCCGTCACTCCGAGTGTGGTAAATATTTTAAAGCATGTACGAACAAGAAAATATTGCAAATGTGAGAGTTTTGTGAAAAAGAGCATCGGAACGAAACGCGGTACTTCAGTTAATCAAAGGGTAATGGCAATGAAATTCAAATCTGTTTAGATAGAAAAACTCATTAACTTATTTTACAACTTTTCTTTGGGAAATAAATCTATGACGTCACAAGCTGGTAAGAATTCTTAAAGCCCGCTGTTCAAAGTAAGTCTATATCGACGATTCCATTGACTAACCTTGCACACAAAAAATATAAACATTTAAAGGCAGTGTGGACGTCATCTTAATTGCATATCAAATGAAACGAAGTATCTTTTAACCGAAGAAAAATTTTGTGAAATGACTTATTCGTCAGTTTCAATCTAAACACACTTAAATTTTGTTGCCAATACTCTTTAATAGCTTTTTTCAGTTGGTATATATGCTTGGTCAAATTGAAAATTCTGCACCTTGAAATCAATGTCAATAAGTCATCATAACTGTACGACTGGAAAAGTCTCATAACCTCTGAAAGAACAGTTTTTATAAGAAATTCTAGTACACAAAGTATTGCTAATGGCACGCAGTAGTCTGTAACTTTTCCACGGTGAAATGCTTCATCTCCAAATCTATTCACGTCTTTTCTTCATCGCTGTCATCTTCTGACTCGGTATTTTCATTTTGTGTATTTTCCTTTTGTGAACTTTCCTTCGTTCCTTCTCCACTGGCATTATCTACGGAATAAGAAACACATCCTGATATGCAAATGTCTGTGAGTCGGACCAGAAAACATTGTTTCTTGGCCATGTTTCCTAAAGGTGGACAAACCAGGAAACAATGTTCCTTGGCCATATTTCCCAAAGGTGGACAAACCAGGAAACATTGTTTCCTAGCCATGTTTCCTGAAGGTGAGCAAACAAGGAAACATTGTTTCTTAGTTCCTAGCCAAGTTTCCCAAAGGTGGGCAAACAAGGAAACATTGTTTCCTAGCCATGTTTTGCAGAGGTATATAAACCAAGGAAACTTTGTTTTCCCATTCATTTCTTACCCTTGACATTATCTTGTTTACTTTTCTTAAGAGCTTGTTTCTTTTGTTTCTTCTTCAGTCTAAAATTAAATAAGTCCAATCATTAAAGTACTCATTAGTTCTACATGCAATAGCTTGGGCACTTGATAAAGATGTGCTTTATACAGTAAGTTGTTTGTTATCGTCTTTCTCTGCACCTCAGGAGTTTAAAAAAGACTCAAACCTTTTTGCTCGCTTCTTCGCAGTTTTTTCATCAGCCATTGTTTCATTCTCTTCTTGCTTTTTGTGATATTCAGCATCTGCATCTTCCTGTAATCAGAACAGTAAGGAATGTTCCAGAACCATAAGTACTGGGTCAGTCTGTCACTTGGTGAGACTGGTTCCCTGCGTTAAAGTGCGACTAACCCTTGAAATATGATTTTTGGTATGTGTAATATTTGGGTCATTCTAAAAAGAAATGTAATATATCTCTATAGTAAAAAACCTCATCTTGGTAAACTTTTTCACTGCCAAACTTTTCCAGATATGATGTCATTAGGTGAATTTTTGATACCAAAAAACAAAGGAAAACTAATTTGCAATTCACCTAATGACATATCTTATCCGGAAACTTTGACAGTGAAAAAGTTGATGAAGATGGGATTTTTTATTATAAAGATATATTACATTTCTTCTTCGAATGACCAAAATATTACACATACAAAAAATCTTACTTGAGGTTAGTCACACTTTAATCAGTTGTCACAACAGTTTACAATTTTCAAAGGATCATAGGTCAAGGGCAGTGGATCATCCTGAACAGCTGTACCAGTGTTGGTAATGCCAATAAGAAAGCTTCGACAGATTGATCAGGATACAACTACCTGATGAAATACAAGGAGAAATTTGACGTTTTAAGCAAAGGAAGTCTGGAAGTTGGTAGCGAAGTTTGGCAACTTTCTCCTTGTATTTTTCAGGTAGTTGTATTCCTATCAATCTGACGTTTTCTTATCAAGGGCAGTGTAGGTCAATTGTCAGGAAGTGACATTTAAAGGATGTTCTATAAGACTGTGGGGACTCAATTTGTAGTCAGAATACTGGGGAACATGCTGGTATTCTCATAGGCATAAGAGAGGGCCCCAGCCCTCAATAATTTGTTTAGTCGGGCAGATTCTAATCGAGCAATTCTACATCGACCAAATGATCAAAGGGAAGCACCACATGTATTAAAATCATTGAAAAAGGAAGACAAGTGGAATGCTGCCAAAATGTCTTAAATGCATGATGTCTGGAAATTACTGGAAAATTCTGATGCAGACATTTTGTATTTGTCTGGTAATTTCAATCAACATCAGGTAGATGTTAGTCTGCCCCCCTCTTATTTTTCTTCCTGTACGCCTGTGGGTATTTTGATGGGGGAGACAACCTTCTTCGCCTTGTCATCAATATACTTCAATCTGTTGTTTTCCCGTCTTCTTGTTGCTCGATACACATGAAATTCTCCACTTCCCGCACCTGCGCTGGAACCTGTGATATAACAGACAGATTTTGGATTTCTCTATGTACCCACACAATACTGTACAAACCTTCCAGATGGTCAAATCATCAAAAAAGTGTAACCGCTGCCACCCCATGAGTCTCAATGATTCATCATCAAAATACGCTCGCCATGCTCCCAACCAGTGTACTTACGGGAGGCATTCGCCCCCCTGAACATCTGCCATTTTGGATAGTTTCAGGGGGTGAATATCTCTCATAAGCACAATGGCTAGGACCATGGCAACAGCATTGCAACGGTTACACCAAAATCATTGGCAAAACCATAAAGTCGACCTTCTGTTTATATTGAGATCAGGTGATACCATAGCTCCATCCGGTCAAATATGAGATCAGTGTTTAGTGAAACCTTACCCATAACAAATCTAACAAAGTCCTTTGGATCAGAAGGTTTCCATTCTTTCTTTTGCCCGGGAATTACCACTGGTTTGTCCTGAACACACATTATAAAACGCACATTTAGTCTACGTGAGGTAAGACGATATTTAAAGGCTGCCTATTAAAATGCCAAATGTTCGATATTAAAGGCTTCCGAAATGCCTATAATAAATAAATAAGGGTAAAAAAACACCCACTGGGTTGCTCATAAGTTTTTCTATCTTCCTTCGTTGCACATCATGCTGAGTTTGTGGTATATAAACGTCTTTTTTAACATTTTTAGAATTTTTATCTTCTTTTTCGTCCGCCATCTTGGAAAAAGCCTAATGGTACACGCCACTGACCTAAAAGTACCGCCAGACGCGGTTAGTGTCCAGGCTTTCAAGATATTCGCGCGCCATCAACACACGTGATCGGTAAATGGTTGAAATTTGTGGATTTCATTTGTGGATGGAAAATGGAAAGCAAGGTTATGGCAGCTATAGGAGGCTGTGCGGTCCTCGCTGGGGTAGCTTATATACTGCAAGGAGGGAAGAAAACTGCAGATGATAGGAATGGTCATTTAGGTATAAATATTGTCTTTATTTTGTGGGGTTTTGTAGTTCAGTTTTGACCATATTTGTCACGTGAAACTTGCTTGTTTGAAACAAGTCTTTGCATTAGGGGAGGGGGGGGGGCAGTGGTTTGCGACCAACATTACGAAAGTCACAGAACTGTGGAATCGCATAAAAAATTTGTATCGTTGAAAATTCCACAAACGTCTATGACTGCTGACCGCACCAACCAGTTCTTGGTAACAATTAGAATTGGATGCTGATTGGCTGTTTAAAATTAGAATTGTAAACATGCAAAAATATGTAGGTGCGGTCGTAGACGTTTGTTGGAGTGGCGGCAATACAAATTTTTTATGTGATTCCACAGTTCGGTGACTTTTGTAATATTTGTTAACAGGAATTCCCGCATTAAATGACTAATAGCATCATAGGTCTCCTGAAAAGGTAGGGTTGCATATTATTTTCCCAAGGTTGGCAAGAAAATACCGATCTAACACTGTATACAAAAACTAAATGATGAAAAAATTGTAGTTATTCTAAATTAAACATTGAAATTTATTTTAAAAACTCATGATGCAACTCATCAAAGATGTTGTCTGCCGCGGCTGGGTCTTGAACCTGCGACAGCCGCGGCAGACAACATCTTTCTGCTTATTAATGCGCTGGGTATGGAAATTATATAATACACACTCTAGAACATTTTTGTCTTAACATATTACAGAGTGTACAATTACACAATTCATGTTTGGCATGAATCTCAATGTATAATATTTGTTATTTATGTAGGTGTTCCAGGTCTGATGAACCTTGGGAATACATGTTATCTCAACTCTGTTCTACAGGTATGTTGTTCAAGATTTGAAGGTTGTATTTTGATTTGCATGTTTAGCTCATTATAATGTGGCTTCATGACTCGATCCCTAACATCTAGTGATTAACCGATTGTGCAGCAATTGGAAATTACTGATTACCGATTATTCATGCCACAATCTACCAGATGCCGGTACCAATTTTATAATCATGACGTCTTTAAATATCAGTTGACCGAGTAAAGGTGACATCATTCATTTCAATTTTTTAACAATTTTCAACATAACCTGTTACTGCAACCAAAGATTGTTAAAACCGTCATAAATGGCACACTTCACATTAATTTAACATATTGTATTAAAACAGAAATTTCCTCATTGTTTTGACAGGCTCTTGCTTCAGTATCTGCATTTGTGTCTTGGATCAAAATGTGTAGCGACGAAAACAAGAATCAACAAAAAATTGGAAAATTGACATCTGAACTTTCTAAGTTTATGCAAAGTAAGTTACTTTTTATCACTGGCAGCGGCAATAACAAGGCAGCTGTACATTGAAATACAACTACCTGAAAATTAATTGGACCTTTCACCTTTTGACTAAAATTTAGGTCTCAACAAGTCTAGACAAAAATTTTATCTTTAGGCTATATTATCCATATTTTCGCAACGAAACTTTGGAATATTACTAATTTTGTGATGCTCTTTCAAGCTGTGATGAAATTTTTGTCTAGACTTATTGAGATCTAAATTTCAGTCAAAAGGTGAAAGGTCCATTAATAGAGACCTCTCAACTTTGCAGAGAAGTTAAGAGTGAGATTGGGGATGTGGATGACACCTTTGTAAAAGTCCTGGGTTCTGAAATTTCGTAGCTACATTTCGTAGCTACATTATGAGAGTTGGTGTTTTTTACTCTCATTGCTTCATAACTTCCTTTAAGGCAAGGCACTCTAGCTACAATAACTGTATTTCTGTGACATACAATAATGAGCTTTAATTTGCCTTTGATAATTTACATATAGAATTCTGCTCCGACTGATTCTGCCTTTTGTTCGTCGTATTTACATATGCGTACTATTTTGTATCCAAATTGCGGGCAAAAGCCAAAATGTTGGGCCGTTTATGCAGGAACAATAACAAGCGATTATATATTCGATGCGCGATCCGTATAATGATTAATAATGTGCATTTAAGAATACAATATATTTATTTATTGAAAAAATACTATGAAACTGCTATATTCATGTAGTGTATTAGGAATTCATTATTTATAATTTATGTAAATCAGTTGATATATAAAGTGTAGGCACAAGTGAATAAAGTATTACAACATTACTACATTGGCGACGAGGATGGCTGAAAGCGTGTTGCCTCCTCCTACGAAGTTTAATATCGAAGCCACAGATGCATACATAGAAAGGAAAGCTTGGATAGAGTCTTAATATCTATGCTGTGGCGGTCGAGCTCGAAAAAAAGTCGGATGGTGTCCAAACAGCCAGTATGGAATGTAAGTGTTGTGCACCGGACATGTCCGGTGCACAGCACCCTTTATTGGTGTACAATCTGGTGCACAAAATTTTACAATAGTAATCTGTGGTGCACATCTGGTGCACACATAACAAGTTAAATAAGGGTGGTGCACTGGTGCATAATTCAGGATTCTCATTTAATTTCCTTAAATAGATTTAACAGCAAAACTTAGTAAAACCTATTTCTGGAAAGTACCTGGAATGCATAGACCTGAGTGGGGTAGGCTTTGCTGCTTTGGACATATATTAAAGATCCCAGAAAAAATGTAAATTTCGATTTTATAATGTTGTTTTCTCACTTTTCTTACCACCAGAATTGTGTAAAATCTTCTGCCAAAGTCCAGGAAATGGCATTTCAGAGACTTTAAATTTAAAAAATTTCCCGGGAGTGCATCCCCAGTATTTTGCGCCTTCGGAGCTCGTCTCATGCCTTCGGCAATCGGCACAAAATTTCAGGGAAGTGAAAAATTCATTGGTGCACAAATCTTTGGTCGGTTAGACGAACCAATGGTGCACACAAAAAATGATCAACTTCCTTGTCCGGTGCGCAAAAAAGTTACATTCCATACTGGCCAAACAGCGACAATGCTGCATTGCCTAGGGCCGGCGGTGCAAAGAATCTTTAGAACATTGCCCGGCAAGAAAGAAAGTTTTAAAGAGGCAGTTGAAGCTCTTGAAGGCTATTTCGCGCCGAGAACAAACGTCGTTGCTGAAAGACACAAGTTTCGCAGTCGAAAACAAAATGCTGATGAGACAATCGATGCGTATCTAACGTCGTTAAGGGAATTGATAAAAACGTGCGAATTCGGGGCGCTCGAAGACGAAATGCTAAGGGATCAAATCGTAGAAAAATGCTATTCAAAACAACTAAGAGAAAGACTCTTAGCTCACGAAGAACTAGACCTAGCTAAGACCCTCAGAATAGCAAGAAGTAGCGAAAGCGCCATAAAAGAAGCACGACTCCTTTCTGGTCATGAAACAAAAGACAACATCATTAACATTGACCGGCTGAATAACCCTGACAAGCGAAATAGGAATTACAATAGTGAAAATTCCAAGTGCTATAGGTGTGGCGGCGTGGGCCACAAGCCAGCAGATTGTCGAGCCATAAGTATGAAATGTAATAACTGTCAAAGGTTAGGACATTTTGCTCGCGTATGTTGCTCGAAGGGTGTATCTCGAAAGCCGTATCTCGAAAGCCGTATGAATCTCAAAAGACTTCGAGTAAAAAGACGAAAGCGCATAGAAACGTCCGTGCAATTCGACGCAAAGATTCAGATAGTAATAATTCGTGTACTGAAAGCGAATCAGAAGACGAACAGATTCTGTTCGTGAAAGGGCAAGACAGTCCTGTCCAGATTACAATCAATGGTCGCAAGATAAAGATGGCCGCCGACACTGGTTGTAGGCAGAACATTATTTCTTCCCAGTTGTATACAGAGCAGTTCAAAGAACACCCACTCGAAAGCACAACCAAATAGTTTGTGGCATATGCATATGGTCAGAAGGTACCGCTAACCTGCCTTGGCCGATTTAAAGCCAGTTTGAAAGCAGGTATGATGACTATTCATAGCTTTGTGTACGTAATTAAAGGCCAAGCCGAGTCGCTGCTCGGGAGAAAAAGCTGTTTTGACTTGGGAATATTCAAACAAGTCAAATTTGTGAAGCAGACTAACTCTAACTCTAAGAAGACTAATGACCCAAGATTGAACTCATTAGTTAATGAATATAATGACTTGTTTCACGGGTTAGGTCAAATTACAAATTATTCGCATAAAATTAAACTAGATCCAAATGTTAAACCAGTAAGCCAACGTCTGCAAAGAATTCCCCTTAGTCAAATAGAGCAGGTTAATGATGAAATTGATAAAATGTTGAAGGATGACGTCATTGAAGAGGTACCCGAACCAAGCCCTTGGGTTTCTAATCATGTAGTGGTGCCTAAGGCATCAGGAGGTTTAAGGGTTTGCTGTGATTTTAGAGAGTTAAATAAAGCCATTGTAAGGGAACGATATGTCCTTCCCAAAGTAGAAGACACTTTGGATGCCCTAAATGGCTCAAAATATTTTG